AATCATGTTCACCTCACAGTGCTGTGTTTCCACCATGATAATCATGTTCACCTCACAGTGCTGTGTTTCCACCATGATAATCATGTTCACCTCACAGTGCTGTGTTTCCACCATGATAATCATGTTCACCTCACAGTGCTGTGTTTCCACCATGATAATCATGTCGAAGTCACAGTGCTGTGTTTCCACCATGATGAATTAAAACACTTTGAAGATGATAATACAATAATCTACTAGGCTTATGTTTTTTGAAATTAACTTGAAGAATATGACACTGGCTTCGATCATCAATCATCTAGATTACCAACTAAATGGGAATCCTTGGGATGAAGTGGAGCATATCATTCACTATTGTAATCCTCTGCTGACATCTGGGAATTACATGGCCTATTATCAAACAAGACACTTTCTGGCATCTTGTAGTGTCAATGTTATTGTGTTAAAAGATGGTTCATCTCATTTGACAATGGGTGGCCAATTGATCAAGTACTAATTTAATTCTTGTGAATCTGTGACAGTGCTTTGGGGGTAAGTTTCATGATAGCTAATGGTGGTGAAACTAAACACTATAATAACACACAGTGTAACCAGCATATGATATAATTAAGAACCTAATAATTTTGGTTATTTGAGATCTATAGAATTTCAGCTTTACATTTTATTATTATGCCATAAATTTTCACTCACTTTTTTAAGCATTACATTTACAAAGAAAAAGTTTGCTGTATTTATCTATCTTGATATTGTGTTGGTAAGTTGATGATGTTCTTAAGACATCAAACAGTTGAGAGATTTGAAAACCTTTTGAAACTGTGAATTCAGGTAAGGATGTTTTATAAAATTATTCCTTTTGTAGTAAAATTGATGTAAAAATTCTTGTCCCTCATTTTTTTCAGAATGTATAAGTTTGGATTTGGTTTAATAATCAGAAGTTGTCTTCTTTAATTGGGGTTTAGGTCAGTGAACTGCCTTTCCCATTCAGAAATGTCAAGCATTTTGAAAATAGCCTGAAACACCCTATTGGGAGAACATGGAATCCAGAGTCAGCTTTTCACGAACTAACAGCTCCTACAATTATCACCAAAATGGGAAAAATAATTGATCCAATTGATGCTGATGCTCTTGTGATGAAGAATAAACCAAAACATCAAAAAATGTTAAATGAAAAAGAAAGTTTAGCAAATAAATTGATTCTGTCTTAAAGTAGGTAGGATTTGTTGCTTTACATTATCTTATAAAATACTCATGAAAAATATTTTAATAATACAGTGAAAATTATCAATAGCAACTGTTAGAACTTTCCACAATAATAGTTATCAAGAGTTTCTGTTAATAGTTGTGTTTGTTAGAACTTTTCTTTGTCCACAATAACAGGTTTCAAAATAGGTTATAATCTGCCTACACTTAGTTACATTTTATAACATGGTCACTTGCTACTACTAATACATTATGCATATAATCAGTAATTAAAGATATAGAAACAGACGTGTCATTTTTTGTGCCTCTTATATTTTTATTAATATGTATTTCCACCAAACACAATAAGAAGTGTTGTTAACTGCCTTATTGCAAGATGGATTTCCACCAAACACAATAAGAAGTGTTGTTAACTGCTTTATTGCAAGATGGATTTCCACCAAACACAATAAGAAGTGTTGTTAACTGCCTTATTGCAAGATGGATTTCCACCAAACACAATAAGAAGTGTTGTTAACTGCCTTATTGCAAGATGGATTTCCATTGAACACAATAAGAAGTGTTGTTAACTGCCTTTTTTGCAAGATGGATTTCCATTGAACACAATAAGAAGTGTTGTTAACTGCCTTATTGCAAGATGGATTAAGAGACATGGAGCAAAATTTTGAAAGTAATTTTGCTTATGACAAAATATTAAGATATCTTTAAAGTGAGATATCTGTAACAACCGGACTTGATTGTCTTATCAGTTGATTCAGGTCTGTGGGTCACCAGTTTAATTTCCCCTAATTCTGAAGTTTGGAGATTGTCAACAATTTTCATGCAATATTGGTCTTGTTTTATTAATTCTATACAATTATTGTTTTGCTTTCCAACAAACCTATTCTCACTTACAAAATGTAGTTTCTCATGACATATCAAACTTTTATCTTCAGGAATAAATGGTAGAAGAAGCCATCATATCATCAGTAGTTTGCAGAATAGCCATTTTGTAAAAGGAAGTTAGTTGCCAAGACAACCTCCATCATGAAGATGTGTTTAATCCATCAACACCACAGTAATTTATAAAATTCATTGATAAATAAGGATCACATATTACAAATGCACTCACTTTGCATTTTCCAAATGAAGAAAATTAAAAACTTTGACATTCAGTAAATGTTATGTTTTTATTTTTCAATGACCTGGATGTTTCATTAGCATTTTATTTCAACAAATGTCCGCATGTAAAAAAACAAACTGAATGAAACACACTCCCAAAAATAAACTTTGAAAAATTGTTTTTAACTGTTTTAAACTGACAGAGTAGACAATGAATGAAACATATTTTGAAAATAAACTTTTCAAAGCTATTTATAACTATTACAAACTCCAATTGGGACTGGAACATAGTAATTCACAAACTACAAGGCTTTGCTATTCAGTTGAGACTTGGAACATAGTGAGCCACAAGCTGTGTGGCTTAGCCCTTCAATTGAGACTTGGAACATAGTGATCCAAAACTATGTGGCTTAGCCCTTCAATAGAGACTTGTAACATAGTGATCCAAAAGCTATGTGGCTTAGCCTTTCAATAGAGACTTGGAACATAGTGATCCACAAGCTGTGTGGCTTATCCCTTCAATAGAGACTTGGATCATAGTGATCCACAAGCTGTGTGGCTTAGCCCTTCAGTTGAGACTTGTAACATAGTGATCAACAAGCTATGTGGCTTAGCCCTTCAATAGAGACTTGGATCATAGTGATCCACAAGCTGTGTGGCTTAGCCCTTCATTTGAGACTTGTAACATAGTGATCAACAAGCTACGTGGCTTAGCCCTTCAATAGAGACTTGGATCATAGTGATCCATAAACTTTCAAACTTAGCCCTTTCCTCATGAGATGTCAATAGTTATATCCTCCCATCCAAAAGAGGATCTTTATTGTTGCGCAAATCATAATTGGTCTTCTGCTCCTAGGAGTATTTAAAGGATGACTTTTATACTTTTACTAAGTTGTGTTCCGACAAAATGGAAGAAAGTCTGAAGACATTTTATAAAAAACAAATAATACAGTTAAAACATCATTTTGCAGTTTCTTTATGAAGTAATCAATTTATGTCCACTTAATTAAACTTTTATGAAGTTATCAGTGATAAAATTACTTTATATTTGTATAGGAAATACAATAACGTCACGTTTTGTTTTATTATCATACTTATTGAAGTGAGTGTTATTTACATGTCTTTTATGTATACTACAAAGAATATGGTGTACCTTTTTACATCCGGCTATTTTTTACAGACCATGTTCGATTTCTTAGTCACATTACTGACCTATAAACATGGTAAACATTTTGATAAAAATGTTGGATTATGAAATGTGTTTCTGTATTGCACAACATTGATCATCATTAATACTTAGGTTAAGAGTTTTCCAATATATATATATAACATACACAGTAAAATTGTTCGTTACAGCTGCCCACATTTTCACTCTTCGATATAACATACACAGTAAAATTGTTCGTTACAGCTGCCCACATTTTCACTCTTCGATATAACATACACAGTAAAATTGTTCGTTACAACTGCCCACATTTTCACTCTTCGATATAACATACACAGTAAAATTTTTCGTTGCATCTGCCCACATTTTTACTCTTTGATATAGCATACACAGTAAAAATGTTCGTTGTGTCTGCTTACATTTTCACTCTTCAATATAACATGCACAGTAAGAATTTTTCGTTACATCTGCCCACATTTTCACTCTTCGATATAACATACACAATAAAATTTTTCGTTACAGCTGCCCACATTTTCACTCTTCGATATAACATGCACAGTAAAAATTGTTCATTACATCTGCCCACATTTTCACTCTTCGATATAACATACACAGTAAAAATTGTTCATTACATCTGCCCACATTTTCACTCTTCGATATAACATACACAATAAAATTTTTCGTTGCATCTGCCCACATTTTCACTCTTCGATATAACATGCACAGTAAAAATTGTTCGTTACATCTGCCCACATTTTCATTCTTCGATATAACATACACAGTAAAAATTGTTCATTTCATCTGCCCACATTTTCACTCTTCGATATAACATATACAGTGAAATTGTTTATACAGTCTTTTTCCAGTGACACAAAATGATAGTATAATAATCCAGTTTTTGCATAACCCACTAGCTCCTGCTAGTAAAGCAATTTTGAACAGCTTGAAATAACACTGAGCTCTTTAAGACCTCTTGTATTTCTGATGCTTTTCTACTCACTTCAGCTGTTCAAATTAATGATGATGAATAAATTAATTTTAAGGTTGATGTTAACACCTGCTCTTTGTATGAAAAATAACCCGCTATTTCCGAAATGTGCGTCACATTCTTATTGAAATATAAAACCCTTCCTAACTGTAATAATCACACGTGTTCAGGTTCTGAGACATGGGAGTCTTAGGGTGGGTGTCACTGTCTTGGCGCCTCAGAGTTGGCCTGTTGCTGGATCTGACCATTTCTACGTTGTTGTCTGGTCTTTCACTGCTGTAAAAGTGATCGAGATCTTCACCTGACGCACTTGGCAGGGGTTCAGAGACGTTTAAGCCTGCTCTTCTATTTTCCCTCTGCTTTTGAACATATAATCGAACTAAAAGCACCAAGAGAAAAGCCACAAGTCCAGCTCCCAGGCTCACCGTCAAATATAAGATGCATTTTTCTTTGTTTTCTGAAAAAAATAGAAGGAAGGTCATCATAGCTTTCCTTGAACTTCAGTAGAGTTAAATCATGATTCAGTTGAATTACTATTATTTAGAAAATTGTATAATTCTTCAAGTGGCTCAGTGATTGGCGTAGTACAAATAACTCGATGGCTTTTTCCTTTGCATACTTCAAAAATGTACAGTTAATTGTATTATAAGTCAGAAGCTCACGATTCAAGATGTTTTGTATTTATTTATTTTATCAGAAACCTACAATAGTAATTAACGTATGTATTATTCAGTATTGGAACATATAAATGCAGAGTATAGTCCTAAAAATTACTTGTCATTTACGTGACAAATTATTTTTATCATAGCGAATAAATTACATAAAATATTTTTAAATGATGGTCTAAACTGTGTATCAATATTTAAGAGGTGGCCAGTATAAGGATTTTATATATGATTGTTCTATCACGAATATTTATAACAAAATATTGTGATTTTAATTTTGTAAGTGATTTCTTGTGGGTCTTGGATATTCCTTCCATGAGACGACGAAGCGCTGCCCAGTAGTTAGTGTGCCGAGCTGAGGTTCCACGGTTCTCATTACGTAACTGTACTTTGTGTTGACAAGCTGCCTTCTATCTAGACTATCACTTGAAAATTAATGGCTAACACAGATAGTTTTGGGGAAAATTCAACAAAACCTACATACATTTAGTCAGACATTACTGTTCTTTTAAGTCTCACTGTTAGATTTAAACTTTCTTTGTTAACGAATCAAAGACTTTAAAGGTTAATATTATTTGTCGTTATTTGGAACTCTTAGATAGAACTAAAATTTAACCCACTAAAGAATATAAATCAACCTTTCAACGATTAGAAACCCAAGGTTCATCAGTTGGGTCTCATTGCTGTTAACTATATTTTCGGCCATAATCCTAACATCTTACGAAGTTCAACCAGATAAAGAGATTTAGGTTTTTCCTAAATTCACATTCTAAGGCCTAATCTATTAATTGCAGATGTATTAAGTATTGAATCTTTTTTTCTTGACGAGAAACTAACAAGATTATGAACATGTTTATTTTATATTCCTATATTTAACAAATCCGAATCTTAGATATCGAAGGTTTCGTCTATGTTACATGTGTTTTACTAAATAAAACTTACACTTTTACATATTTTTTTTTCCCAGATCAGGAACCTTGAGTTTTTATTTATCATATTCTAAAATAGTTTTATGTTATTTTTAAATATTATCTATGAATCATTCGACATGATACCTGTCTAAAAAGTCAGGTTTAAATACGAAATTTTCTGTTATTTTTGATATAGAATTTAAATGCTAAACAAACATATTTTTGGTGCGTTTTTTTACGATAATCTCCAAGAAATAGCCTCAAGAAGTCATGATAAAAGATTTAAAACAAGGATCACACACAAAAGATGCAATGGATTAAAAAAAGACCCAAACTTTCGAATAGTAGACTATTATTCTAGTTAAGAAATATAGTCTACCAATCGAAATCGTTTTAGTTTTGTATCTTTTTTATAATGCATTATAAAGTCGTGAATATTCTGTGTCATCTGGACGTTTGGCTGAGAGCGCTAGAGGAAGAATTGTATCTTCTCTTTTTACGTGTCACTGACTCTCAAAAGAACTTTACATGTTACCTCTAAACCAGCGGCGTGTTTTACGTCACTTCTTTGTTCTGTTACAAGCTCAAGATACCTTCTAGGATATTCATTTTTTTGTTGTTCTGAAACATAGGAATTTAATTATTCTCTGTTAATGTAAAACCTGCATATTCCTGCGTATTTCATGTATCTCGTGTTTATAGTTTACGTCACTCCAGCTTTTCGTTCACAGAAACTTTGTTGGATATTTACCTTTCTTCTATTTGAAATGAGAAACTTATTCGGTGAATGCCATATTTACGACATCTGTGTCAAATCGTACTTGAATCTCGTAAGTCGCAGTAGAATTGACAGTACAGAGAAGTGCCACTGCTATATGAGAATTCAAGAAATCTAATATCAACAACAATATATTTTAAATACTCAATAAAAAAAGACAAATTTATTTTAATATTTGCTGTGTAGTATTTTACCAGACACTCACTTCAAGATATTTGTTTTTTCTGAAATTTGCGCAAAGCTACTTAGAGCTATTAGTCGGGGAGCCAACGATGGAAAAAGGGTTTTTGGAAACAAGTTTAGTTTACTTCTCAAGCTGAAAGGGAAAATGGTACTGACGTTGGTCGACACATATATATGAAACTCGAAACAGTTGAAAATGGTACTGATGTTGGTCGACACATCAATATGAAACTCCAAACGGATGAAAATAGTACTGACGTTGGTCGACACATCAATATGAAACTCCAAACGGGTGAAAATGGTACTGACGTTGGTCGACACATCAACATGAAACCCCAAACGGTGAAAATGGTGCTGATGTTGGTCGACACATCAATATGAAACTCCAAACGGGTGAAAATGGTACTGACGTTGGTCGACACACCAACATGAAACTCCAAACGGGTGAAAATGGTGCTGATGTTGGTCGACACATCAACATGAAACTCCAAACGGGTGAAAATGGTACTGACGTTGGTCGACATATCAACATGAAACTCCAAACGGGTGAAAATGGGGCTGACGTTGGTCAACACATCAACATGAAACTCCAAACGGGTGACAGTAGCAAACTTAGGGTGGTCAGGAAATTTCATGTCAAAATGTGGTATGTGCTTTCTCCTGTGGAGGAGAGCTAAATTTCATGATTTGAATTTGTTAAACTAAGATATTTTATACTTGAATTTCTTGAAATAAGATATTTGAAATTAAGTAACAAGGATTCAGTTAGTTAGAAAGAATAAAAGATAAACTTTATAGTGAGGTGACCTTAAAAACTAAAAGACGTGGGTTTAGTGTGGAATTTATCCATTAACATTAGGAGATTTCAGTAGAAGAACAACATTAATCGAATAACTGGGATAAGGTCCTCCGGTCTGAGGGACTACTTGGACTTAAAGTTGGACATTGGCTATAGATTATAAGTATTGCTCTCGAATAATGATAGTAATGTCTAACCACATCTCATCGAAATCATCAATAATAGTGTTACGGCAGCGGAAGTCACGCGACGCTGGGAGCATGCGCTCTGGAGTTTCTCGAAGGATCTTGAATTATCGAGGAACCCCGCGAATGTCCGAGTGTTTGCTAGACGCCCTCTATTTTAGTATATAAGCCTGGCGAGAAAAACCAGCGGCATTGAAGAGATAGATCGAAAGAGCAGATAGATTGAAGAGATAG